ATATATATATATATATGGGCAGGGCTATAGTGCTCAATCCAATCAGCCCATGTGGATGGATTATGAAGGGCCAATATAAACAACCCTCATCATTAATTTCTCAAGAATTCACACAGGACAGATGCATCAAGCTATCTTTTCATCCTATAAGCCCACAATTCATCTGACTCTCATGGTTCTGATTCCATGTTCAACAATATTCTATGTCCTGGCTTCTCATCTAGATCTTTAGAGTAAAAATGTACCTGCTGGGGATTTATCTCAGTGGTTCTGCCACCTGCCTCACAAATGCAAGGTCCCAAGTTCAATCCCCAGTACCAAAAAAAAAGTACCTCTCATTTATCTGTAGGAATAAAAAATTTTAAATTCAAAGTTCAATATCTTTTTGGAAGTTCAGCTGAATGAGTCTACCTTATGAGTTTAACTGATCTATCCATGAGAGGTGCATCTGCTGTTGATTTGCTAAAGAATAAACATTAGTCTTCTTAGTCCATAAGACTGAGCCAAGTCTTAAACCAAGGTAGCAAATGTTTTCCAGTGATTTTTTTTTTGCAAGCATTTCTTTGATGCCCCTCTCAATACTCTTTATCACGTTTTTTTCTCTTTTTTCTGAAAAAAAATTTCTATCAGAGGAGTTCCAAAAATTAAGTGAGATAAAGGCAATTATGCTTACTAAACCTACTGTACATGATAAATGTTTATTTCCCTCATCTCTGGACTTCATTGAGATTAAAAAGTTAGCAATCAGAAAACTGTATGCTCATGCTAGATTAGGGATTTTACATGCTCAGTGAGACTTATATCAGTCCTATGAGTGCTGAGAGAAACAATTTTTTTCTAACTTCGCAGATACAAAAAATACACCATTTAGTAATAGACTATTTTAGGGTTTGGCAAAAGGGAATAGGCTCCTTTAAAAAAAATACCTAGCAGATGCCAAAAGAGTAAAAAAAATAAATACATAATTCTTACAGATAAGTAGTGAGTATAAGTAGAAAAGCTACCCCAAACCGAAAGTCCCAAAGCAAATTAGACCAAAACATTGTAAATCACATTAGAATGATAACACAGACAAACTCAGCCATCACTATGATGACAAAAATAGCATCAAAGAATAATTAGTGAATGTTATAAGGACCACTAAAAATGTTTGGGATGGTTAACGTTTTGAATGATCTTTAACAGTGGGAAAACTAGTGATAAAATCCATTTTAAGAGTTATTTTCTTTTCTATTATGGTAATGAAACCATTTAACTTTTGCAGTACCTTTTTCACATAAGCTAAATTAAAAACACAAAGCAACCAACATGAGGAAAGTTCTATTTCCTTCTAGTCTGCATTTTTTTTCCCCTGACGGTGGCCAAGAGTTGAACTTTTATGTTGCAATTACAGTTTTTCCCTTCGGAGTCACCTTGCAGCCTTGCCAACAGCCCACAGCTGCCTTAATCCTCCATGCCGGTTAGCATAAAGATGACATATGTAAAACCACATCCACCACCAAGATAAAAAGAAGAATGCATACCTCGCTCAAATTTTAACCGCTGATAAAGCTGAAACTGATCCACTGGTACCAAACAGGCAATCTGAAACCAGAGATATTAGAGAGATGAGATTTCAGTCATCACAAGGCCCTGAGTTACCAGCCCTTTATGATTTCTCTCTCTGGCTTTGCTAATTATATTTCCCTTCTACCAGTCATTTGTAAACTTCTTAGACTGTACACTGTCCATTGCAACAATTCTCAAACCTTTCCCATTCTTAATTCTGATTGCCTTCCATTCCTTGAGCAGCAGCTACCAAAACCAGATAACCAAATTTTATTATTTAGATATCCCAAGTTGTGTACATACATGAAAGATGCTCTTTTTTTTCTTTCTATATTCATTAAAAAATTTAAAGACCATAGTTCTAGCTTTGGACCCTTAAAAGCTAAAGTCAAGTAGACAGTGCCTTGGGAATCATGAAAATTTCATTTCTTACTTAGAAAATAGTAACTTCTAAACAATATAAAATATCTTCTGACAAATCACCTCATGGAGGTCTCAGCTATCACACATTGACATTTTGAGACCCTGACAAAAAAGAAAAGTCTAAGACATTTCCAATGGCTAGACTCTCATTATTCCATTTTACATGGTAAAATGAACCAAAGGTTTACGAGTAAACAAAACTAATTCATACTTGAGTGACATTTTAGATTAATCATTCTAAATTATATTTCAAGGTCAGATGCAGGAAAAGCTAACTGATCTTCCACTGGTATTCTAAAAATATTAATTCCATTGACATCAAGATATAAGTGCGTTGACATTGCTTAAAGGATTTATAACTGAGAAAATAAATAGATTTGACATTAGCCTTCCAGACATTAAAAAGGTTAACACAAGGGCCGGGGATTTAGCTCAGTGGTTCCACCACCTGCCTTGCAAACGCAAGGTCCTGAGTTCCATCCCCGGTACCAAAAAAAAAAAGAAAAAGAAAAAGAAT